CCAAGAATGCGTGGAGCTACACCTCCATTCCCCGCATACGTCATCATAGCGGTGTTCTTTGTTAAACTCCGCAGGGAACTCCGATGTTTACTTTAATTATAAATAAATAAACGTACTGAATATTTAGTTACTTTACAGATGTAGAAACGTCTTATATGCCTTCATCTGAACTCGTGCTTTATGTTAAAATAACCCAATACCGTCAGGATACAACACTTATTAAAGTATAGCCTGGTGTAGAAGTAACTTTCTGTGCTTGTCATCATGAGGTAGCTGGTTTGACTCTCGGCCAAGTTGCCGACTGTCCTGACTGAGATTTTTGTTTTCCGCAGTCTCTCCTAGCGAATGTCGGAATAGTACGTTCTAATACGTTATGACCACTTCCTACCAAATCCTTTACCTCTACTCCATGATTATCTTTCCCTCTCACTCGACATTACTGCAACAACTCGTACATTTATTATAATTTTCTTCGTGGTTGCGCGTTTTTTAATTGGATGATTTAGAAATTGGCTGGTAAATAACAAAGAATCAATCAGTTTTGTGCCAAACGAGATGTTTGGAATCAAGAAGCACGTCGTAAAATAGATTCTAGAGGAAAACTTTTACGTCCTTGAAAGTTCAACAGCGGTAACAGGTCGCCCGCCGTAGGTGACGATTTTTAACGATTCTTATTACCGAAGTTGTCAATTTATTTTTCTACAAGTGTTTCAATCAAAAGAAATATGTTGACACGTGCTAGGGGTACATTTGACTCAGTTGTTTCGTTTTTGTCCTCACACCTCCGACCCACTATGGTCTGACAGAGCTCGTTACTTCTCATAGTCGAGAGTCCTTTAGAGCCTAATGGTCACACAGCTGGCAAAGAAATTTCACTAACGTTATATGTAACATGAAAATTCGTTGCCATCTCGACAAGAGTCCGCCGTTTTGCCCTATCCGGAGCCAGTTTAGTGCAGTCCGTACTCTCGAATACTATTTCTTTAATGTCCATTTTAATATTATTCTTCCTTCTACTCTTAGGTCTCGTCCTTAAGATATTAAACCAAATCTGTATGAATTTCTCATGTTTGAAGCTTGATGCGTGTCACACAGTGATAGAGACTGCGGTTTGTCAAGTTGTTTCATGGTCTCAGGTTTAAAGTTTAAAGGATTATGAATGCCTAATGAACTTTAGACATCATTATGCCTACTGTAATTGCAATCGAATTAAAATCCCTCTAAATATGTATTTATTGTGTTTTATATTCTGTATTCAGCAGTAACATGTAATAAATCACGAGTTTCGTGTTGTGATATTCAGTAATTGCAAAAATAGAGAGGTGAAATTATCGCAGCACAGTCTCATGATATTATTTACAGAATTCAATAAATAGTTAAGTTTCTTAATTTGCGTGGAAATTTTGAAAACCCATAGCCTCATTGGAAACACTTAGTCACCCGCTATGTAGATAGTTTATTCAAGAGCAACTTAGTAACCTTACGAAAGTTTGATTACCCATGAAATTCCTGTATCAGACTGATATTAAGTCGCTCTAATTTGTCTGCAGATGGCGATGACAAGAAGACAGACGAAGGCTCATCTCCTGTGTCAACCAGAGTTGGTAACAGTAAGCTTCCTAACAGCGTTGAAAATCAAGTAAGTTTCGTCACCATGTGCTTAACTGCTTTGGTGTATAGAATGTGATTGACGAGTCATTAAAACTGCAGTCAATAATAAGCAGCACACAGAGAAAGACGGAGACAATGGGCTTCTCCGAAACGTCGGTATCTAACTGCGAATCTACACGGCGTCAAAACTCAGAACGACGCCGTCACGTTTGGATAAGCGACCACTGCGAAAGAATGTGGCAGCACTAACGATGAACGTCCAAAAACCTTTGACCTTATGACATCTAAGCAACTCGACCCCACAATGGACAGATATCATTTGCTAGCTATGCGTGGGAGATCGATGTGAACTGAACCTCAGACAGACGACTTTCCTCTAATCAGCCAATAGAAATCACGGTATGAGCATTCAGCGTAGGTTGACTCTTAACGGGATGCAATATCTGAATTCCATGTAATATAGGCAATAATGAAAGATGACGAGTGTGATGAACTAGAACAAAATTAAGATTTGAGTGAGCTGTGATGTGCTGCAAACAAAAATAAAAGGAATGAATTTGTGGGAAGGAAACTCATATTCAAGAGCAGACTTTGTTGTAATGTTACTACTACATTATAAGAAGTAGGTCTATTGTAAAGCAGGTGTGATAATTAAGCAAAGTAATGTTTTGATATAACTTCGAAAATAAGAAGGAAACGAAACTATTAAATGGATAAGAATATAATAATATTTGATAACGATAATGGTGATTGGAAGGAGGAGACAGAAAAATGGCCTCATACTTCTGAAGTCGGTAGTCGGTGTGTATTAGCATTTATATTTTCAGGAAATGACTAATTGCGTTAATTCTATTCCCACCTCAGATATTCTTTTCTGCCGCCATGGAATCCTTGACGAAGGGGGTTTAAATACCTAGGACATATCGCCTCGGAATGAAGCGCAATAGCATGACTGTTACACCGATTTTTAATGATTCAGCCGATAATCGGCCCACATCATGGGCTGACATCAAAATTCGTGCAAAGAATATGATATTACATTAATGTGATTCAGAATCAGAATATTCTTAAAAATCTAGGCCTTCATTTTCATTTCAGCTTAATAAATTTTGGTGCTACATGCTTAGAAGTAAATTATTGTCAAAGTATAATGTTACATTGTGGAGATAAGAACCTACGTATTTACAAACTCTGATAAATATTTATGAAGATAATGCATTTAAACTTCAGGAGAGTGGGTCGCTTGTCGCCTACCAGAAAGACCTTCGGGTGCTTGAAGCAATGGAACCCACTTCGGAGTCTGGCCAATACGGACTAGTTGACACCACTTACGCTTATGTGGGTTTCAAGGATGGGTAAGTAAATCATAACAATATATTAAAACGTGCGTAACCTGTTTGTGTGTTTACGTCATGGTACTTAGTATAGCCTCAAGGGCAGACTTTAATTCTTATTAAACCGTGACGAAAATAAGAAATCGCCATGTTTCCGTTCTATGTATTCTCCCCTCAGCGTTATTCTTATGACTTTCATTCCTGACATATATTTTTCCCAGTTTTCTACTAGTCGAGGCCCAACGTCTCCAGGGAAGCGATATAAGCAGTCTGTTCACGTTCGTTGCTCCGTCTGCCTATTACAAGGAGCAGTCTTCTACGAAAATATTCACTTCGTCCTGTGGTTTTAGTGAACGCAATATGTAGAAAATAACATCTGTATTCGGGAAATATTCAAGCAGGGCTTATAATATTCGACGGCTATGTTTTGTGTCTGTCTATCTGTCGAGCAGAATAAGGTTGAAAATACAGACGCTCAATATACAAAGCTGGGCTGTAACATAATGAATTGGGCAGATCACGATTTTTTCAGGACATTTTCCGATAAGCTGTGTTATTTTCACTTTTTCCACCCTACATGAATCATAGTCGGGCATTAATGAATAAAAATGATTTTATGAATCGAAAAATATTCAGCATTGTAAACTGAGTGGAAATAAGAGTGGATAAGAAACATGAAAACATAATTTACTATAAAAATGTACAGTAAGAGCTAAAAATACATCTGAATATAAAATATCTTTAATGAGACCTGTGATACTGTTTCTGTAAGTTACTTTTTGTTCAAACTGAGACTTAAATGTTGTACTACCCGACAATTAGAATCGACGGTGTTCCGGGTTGTAACGCCGTTGAGCGTTTCGGAGGAACATACTGCTTCTATCGTCAGGTTGAAAGATGGAGACAGTATGTTCCTCCGAAACGTTGGTATTACCCCCAGATGACCAACATAGACATTTCCACAACCATGAGAACCTCGTGCTGCGTATTGTACGGTAGATCTTCGAAAAATATGGAGCTGATTTTATAGTAATTTTAAATGTGCGTTTCAGAATTCATACATGGGACCAGGGTGCTCATATAGTGAACGAGGTAGCCGATCTCTTGGGACTGGATAGAAGTGCACTCACTCACATTAGGTAAGTGCAACTGATAGCACAGTTGAGAGCTGTTTTAATATCCCATCTGCATCTAAGTCTTCCCTTCTAATATTCCAATTAAAAATTCTGGGTTCATTCTTCATCCCTGCTTTGGGTGCTCAATTCTACGCCATTCATCTCCCTTTATTTGGTCACTCTAATACAGCTGAAACCACACATTTCAGCGTAATATGAACAACTTTACTCGTTATGTTTGTTGGATGCAATTCTTAGCTTTCTTTCCGAACACCCTCCATTATATTATTTGCTTTATTTGTGTCGGTTTGTGACAACTGGATAGGTAAGAGTCTTTAGCTATTCCATTTGTTCGGAAATATGTGTTGCGAGCTTTGTTAAGTTAATTAAGAAATATGGTTAAGCTTTCTGTTTCGTTGTGTTTCAGAGTTGACAGAAATGAGGTGACCTTCAAAGTTGAACCAAACAGTTTAGGACTAAATGCATCAGACGTGGCTAAGAAAATTGGTACGTCTCATTGAATCTACGTAATATACGTGTATAAGTGTACAGTGTAGAAGCTGATCCTGCAGCTGTGGAAACCAAACTTTCTTTGCTGTCATTACATAATCATGGTACTTGAACAATTCTGTGTCACTTCATGGCCTCACAACCTATTCTCCTAAACAAAATTTTTATGCATTGTCCTATAGGTGGCACTTTCTCATGAGGTTTCCCAAACACAGTACTGTCACATTTCTTGTTTCCCCTATGTTTTGTGTTCTGAGCGTGTCTGATCTGTTGATTTATTGTCTTTGTGAAGAAAGAGACTTCTCCTCGTACGATGTTCTCCATTTCCTCGCCCTTGATACAGTTTAGTTTATAGACTTGTGGTCATCTGCAGTAAAGACCGAAGTTTGTACCTTACGAATCCGAAGTAAGATATGATTTAATCCCATTTTATGTCCTAGGTTTTCAAACAGGAAAAGTGACCTGAAAAGAAGCATTAAAAACTTTCGCTATTTGTGCGATTTCCCGAAACGTTATTTTAATTAGTTTGTGTTATCTTTACAGAGGTAATTAAGGATGAGCTGAAGAGGAGAGTACACGTGGAAGTGACAGCGGCGGGTGTGGGGGACAAGGTAAAGAGTGAACCAGAGTTATTTAAATTAGCCAACATTTGTAAGTAGGAAGACGGATTGTAGTGGAATCAAGAGTTAATTCTTTCCGAAGTCAGTTGTGCAGATGAAATCACAACAATTACTTCATGTTGTGCTTATTTTGAGTACATAGATAACCTTATTGATTATCTTTCTCAGAACACCCCATTGACAAAAGAACTCGTACACTTTTCATTGCGAAGTAATTTTATAATTGAATCCACGAGTTACCAAATGAATTCTCTGGTCATTTGGCCATAGCAAGATTGTGATTGTTATCAGATAGTATTAGCTCCTTTAGCATTTCTCAGATATTCAGTTAATAGAAATCTAAGCACTTTTAACGAAAACTGTAGGAAAAGAATGACAGTGAAGTAAAGTTGTGTTTCCTTAATTATTTTTTCTAATTTCATAAATCACGTGGCAATTCTTTCCTGAAGATGTGTGACATTTCATATTCCAGGAAAACTATCTTCGGGCTATGTAAAGTTCTCCAATGTTTCTGTTCGCCCCGATTTTTGCTATAAAAATAAGGGACAGTATAAAGGATCAGATGTTATTGGAACTTACATGTGTCTGGCTATTGTGTGTATGAACTGATGTGGTGAATATCATACCAAATTATTTATATTCTAGGAATCTGCATTGTATAGTAGTATGCTTGCTATTCTTATAGTACAGCATCTTTTATTACTGAGAAAAAGTAAGAATTTTCATCTATATAGACATTACTAAAGTACTAAATACTTTTACTTCCATCTTACGGGAAAAACGTGCTTGTAATTTATTATAGTGCAGCATGTGAAGAAAGAAAGATAAAACTTTGAGTTCATACAAAGTGTACCACATAGTCTAGAAGCCAATTAAAACCTACACTTTTTGCACTGCTAGAAGCGCCATGGTTTAGTGCCTTCTGGAATTCATAATGACCTTTTAATTGTCCTATGAGCGTCAGTGGTCCGTAGATCCTTCCTACTTATGCCCCAGGAGGCAGTCCCCACTTCACGTTACCCTCCATCCCACCCCCCAGTGATGCGGAGAGGGGGGCAACAATTTCCACGAAGCTCATATAAAGAGACATAGATATAAGCAGAAACATCAATAAAACCCCCACTCACATGAAACACAAAGGACACCTCTTGGTTTACTCTGTTGTTACCGTGGTAACCAGTTCTCAGAATTTCTGTTCCCATCATTACATCAAATATATTGTCATTTCCTGCATTACTAACGTTACAACTAGCAGACGCTTGACGTCGGTTTTCCGTCTTGTGCGGCATCACCGTGCTTGTCATATTTGGTTGCTTTGGATGGCGATATGACAGCAGTCTTCTTGACGCTCGGCATCTGCACGATATAGTATGTCGCGACGATCGGCGTCGGTTTGAAATCGTAGTGTCGTAAAACACCCGACTGTTTCGTTTGAAATATTGGGAATCATGTTTCATCGTGACTATTGTGTTTGCAAGAGACTATTAGCCGAATAGAAAATACATTGCCCCTGCAAAATACGGACATCCCGTCTTACAGATGAGTCGGAGAAGTTGCCGCGGCAGCACGGCGAGCTGAACGCTGCAGAGAGAAGCGAAATGCGCACGGGTATTTTCAGTCATTGTGGTCGCTCAGCACAGTGTTATCATAGTCTTTGGTAGGGAGAATTAATGGAAGAGTTTGAAAACAGAGTGCTTTTGGAGATATTTGAATCTAATTAGGATTCAGTAGCCTATATTTTGGAAAGACACCAGTAAATCAAAATTATATTTCTAGATGTTACAGAACGTATATGACAGGACGGATTTAGAATTAGGTCTTTCTGACACTGGAAAAGCTGTGTGTTACTGTGAACAGATTTTGAGTTTCGTTTGTTCATATTAATTGCCGACAGACGAAGCTCCCAACAGTCCTGAGTTTGAGCCTTGACACGGAACATAAGCTGTACGTGGCGACCTTCCTGATTTGTGGTGTGATAGCCGCAGTGCTGATCGCAGCCTCTGCCCTCTTCGTGATTCGTCGCCATGCCCGCTCCAGAGAGAAATTGCAGAGCCTTACCGCCCCCGAAACGGAGGCCAGCAGAGATTACCAGGTATCAAGTTGCCAGATGTGCTACTAAACTGTTGGAAGTTGTACGAGTTAACACGCAATTGTTATTTTTATTTCTGTGTTATTAAATTAATTTATATCTCTATTTTTCGCCCGTAATGGAGAAATTATCGTGACTATGTGAGATTTGAGGTTCTCATAGCGACGCGTATGAAGGTGGCTATTTTGTGGGAGAGATTTGGAGTTCTTACTGCGGCGAGTATAAAAACTATTGTTATTTGGGCTATTGTGCCGCGCTCGATCCCAGAACTCGACGGTGCTCCACAGGCCGCCTGATACATGTATTATTATAATATATGAAAAGAATTATATGATTTTGTTAGAATCCTTTCCCACAAGAATCACGTAGTTTACATAACACTGACACTAAGGTAAATATCACTCTGGGTAACTTTGCTCCGGAAGTGCTGGCTTCATTATACCGTCTGCTGATTGGGAGGTCACGTGTCGCACATGCGCAGTTATATATAAAACACACGTGTCACTTTCACCTGCCCCGACGATAATCAAGGATCGAACGTTGTCTGCGATAAACCGGAGTGACACGTTGTTACAGGAACTATGCCGCGCGAGGATGGCGACGAAGACCCAGCAGGACAAACCTGAGCCGATCCACGTAGGACAGAGGATAGCAAGTCTGTCCAGAGAGTCGGAGGGCTCCAACAACAGCCCTTCCTCCAGATCCAGCACCTCGTCCTGGTGAGTAGGGTGCTCTCGAGTAGGCCACCTGGAGACTAATAGGGTCCGTTTGTTTCATTATTCTGAGGTTATTTCGATATTGGCCTCGAAGTCAGCGCAAAAGTTGTCCCACGTTCTTTGGTTATCAGAACCGATATAATGAGTGGCTGTGCAGATAATGGCATACAGTCGTATTTTGCATTGCCCCTGTCTCACATTTGTTTACTGTATGTGTAATATGTTGTAAAGGTAAGGTTATTCTTGTGCTTTCGTGCTATGTCTTAAAGGCGTATACGAGAAGTGGAGTTCCATTTCTTCTTAACCCGGAATTATATTTATGCGATTGGCCAACTTAATGCTCCGGTCGCTTTACCACGCGGGAGAGAACCCCCGGTATCCTTTCGATGACATCCTGTGTTGGAGTGTAGCCAGTCGCTCTGTGGGCGACTTCTTTCTGCTATTACTGTTATTCTTGTTGCTGCTTCTCAGCGCAGTTTTCCCGAAATAAAGATGTAACTGTTGGGCGCCGTCGTAATTCATCTGAAAAATGTCTGCATTCTTTTGCCTTTTTGTTATACGTTATTACAAATATGTTTGATGTTTTAGAAAGAATTTATTATACTAATGGCGGCCAGTAGGCCCTATAAAGTACTCTCTAGACTGAATTATCATTTTTTTATTATTGGCACTTAAAATGGAACATGCTGTACCCTGTCCGAAGTTCAAAAAATGCTGTACATAGACTATGCCTTTCTGATTTTTATTTCTGATGGCGTCACGAATACGAAATAAAATATTCCAGTCCAGTTTCGTTTATTCTATAAGATGTTAAGTAATTCAGCCCTGAATATTTAGAAAGTATGTTTCTTCAAAACGCTGGTATCTGCGAACGAGTCCACATGGCGTCACAACCCAGAAAAATGTCGTCTTCTTCACCACCGTAAAAAATTCGGATCTCACAAGCAATTCTTAGTTTGCTTTTTTGGACGAAAGTTTGCCTAAATAAGACACTCTGAAGAGAACTTAATGCTGCCTCCTGTTGTACAAATGTTTCAGTCTTATGATGAAGCCACTATTTAGTGTATCATACCTGTGTGTATTTTCCACTAGTACGAATTCTACGTCCACATTTTAATTGTTGTCATACAATAATGTGTAGATATGTGTATGATCCAACAGCTTTGTTTTATACAGTAGTTACAAGGACAGGAGAAGCGACGGATACATGATGAGCACATGGACAGACAGACATGTTGCTACCATAAGACTAACTTTCCATATAAAATAAGGAAGCACATTAAGAATTTTTTATTTGCTGCCCCGCTACACGCCATGTAGGCCGTTTCGGGGGAGTGGAGGTATAGCTCCTCTCTTCCTTGACCTCGGCACTAGATGGGGGTGAGTGGTCAGCATCACGCCCTGGCTAGGCTTTACCCCTGGGAAAGGACCCCGGTACCCATTGTAGAGGAGGGTGGGTGGGCCCCAGAGCCGGTCTGGACGCAGAGGCTAGAGGAAAAATCCTCTGCCCCCGTCGGGGATCGAACCCCAGTCGTCCAGCCCGTAGCTAGTCACTATACTGACTGAGCTATCCCGGCTCCCATTAAGAATACTACCCATTGAAATTCCCTAGTTATATAATATATATTCTGAAGTAGCAGTTGTTTGCAGGAGTGAGGAGCCAGCACTCACTAACATGGACATTTCAACTGGTCACATGGTTCTGGTAAGCACTGGCTTATTTTATCATGCGTAAGTATAATTTTTTTTAGGTAGGAACTGAATTTTTAAATATTATTTTAGATGATACGACTTTGTGCTTCTGTTTGTAGTCATATATGGAGGACCACTTGAAGAACAAGGATCGTCTGGAGCAGGAGTGGGTCGCCCTGTGCGCATACGAGGCAGAGCCCTGTGCAGCCACAGTAGCTCAGAAGGTAATTCAGATACACGTCCACTAGTGAATCATAACTTTATGGCTAAAATAAGAATTCACCCAAGTTGATTTCTTTCTACAGGCAGAAAATATGAAGAAAAATCGTTACCCAGAAGTTCTGCCATTTGACCATGCTCGAGTGGTACTCAATGATCTTGCTAACATGTCAGGTTCTGACTACATCAATGCATCCACAATTGTGAGTAACTTCCAAATGCCATTGGCCCTCATTAACCATCCTGGTATTTTTCTTATTTAACCTGCAGTTGGCAAAACCTTGGTAGGCTACTGTCAGGAGAGATTTCCCATACATTTCCTTGTACCAGTTGCAAAGAGATCTCTATGTTGACATCAACCATGTCTTTCACATTTGAATGGAATTTGTTTTCTATTATGTTGTCTGTAAGAAGCATGATAGTTGCAGTGTTTGATTCTTTATAATGTTGGTAGTTTAATGTTATTTCAGTACCATACAATTGATAATAATTTGTAGTCATAATAACAAAATTTCACTGTTATCTATTTGAAGTTTAAAATACTGAAATTTTGAATTAACTATGTTGAACTACTTCTGTTCATCTTAATTGCTTTGTGAGACAAGGTTTTTCTCTATATGTGATGTAAATATGAATAGTCTCTTGTTTTATCTGAGCTTATGTACATTGGATGCCCCATAGTACATTATCTGAGACTTGTAGAAAGTGAAATTAAGTGACAATATTTTCCTGATTGATTAACGATATGATTGTTCTTCCTTTCTGATATCAAATAAAGCCAAATATTTTTATACACAAAGCAGTGTAGACAATAAACATGTTAATCCAGTCAAATGTCGTATCAGCAGTTAGGACCCAATTAAAGGTCAAGTGACAAACTCTTTTATAGTGAAATTAGTATGTAGTATTTCTGGAATAATGACTGATGGGATAAAATTGAAGTACTAGGTGAAAACCTGCCCCATTGTAATTTTGTTCACCTTAACTGGGGCCCACCCAGCCTCCTATCCAATGGGTACAGGGGTCCTTTCCCAGGGGTAAAGCGTAGCCAGGGCGTGATGCTGACCACTCACCCCCATCTAGTGCCAAGGTCAAGGAAGAGAGGAGCTATACCTCCACTCACCCCAAACGCCTACATGGCATATAGTGAGACAGCTTTACTTTTTTATTATAAATCCCTTACAGATTGCACTGGAATTGTACCCAGGCCCTCACAGTGACAGGCCACCTATTTACAGAAATGATGCCATCTCTCTTCATATATGAAGCACAATGATACATGTTTATTGCAAATTCATACTGATCAGATATATTATACGTATTAACCCATTACAAGTCTCAATCTGATAAAATTTATTTTTATTTATGTATGCATTAATTTATTTAACAAGAATGATGTAAATAATGCCTATTCTGTGATTCCAAACTCAACACAGACAGATCATGACCCACGTAATCCGGCCTACATTGCAACTCAAGGTCCTCTGCCCCACACTGCTCCTGACTTCTGGCAGATGGTGTGGGAGCAGGGTAGTGTAGTGATGGTGATGCTCACACGCCTCACTGAGAATGGGACAGCTATGTGTCACCACTACTGGCCTGAGGAGGGATCCGAACTGTACCACATTTATGAGGTAAGGGATATCATTTGAAATTAGATCTGTACTCCTTTAAGTTATATTCCCTTGCTTTCTTAATTTTTTGAATAATAAACAGTGCTTAAGGTATGGCGCAGCACAATATTCCATATTTATATAAATATCAGTCAACATAAAATATTTTCAGGAAATATAGCTAAATTATACCCTATGTAT